AGGCTATGGACCCTGATAACATTCCAACAATAGTACTGAAGACTTGTGCTCTCGAACTTTCTGCTCCCCTAGCCAAGTTCTTCCAGTACAGTTACAACACTGGCATCAACCCAACAATGCTTAAATTTGTCCATGTATGTCCTGTACCCAAAAAGCAGGACAAATCCAAATCAGCCAATAATTGCCTCATCAGCCTACTCTCAATCATCAGTAAAGTGATAGACGGTGTCAACAACAGCGCTATCAAGCAGCACCTGCTCAACAATAACCTGCTCAGTGACGCCCAGATTGCATTCCACCAGGGCTACTCAGCTCCTGACCTCATTCAAACATAGGAAAAACAGCTGCATTCCAGAAATGAGGTGACAGTGACAGTCTTTGACATTAAGACCGCATTTAACCAAATGTGACATCAAGGAGCCCTAGCAAAACGGGAATTATTGGGTATCAGGGAGCAAACTGTCTGCTGGTTGGAGTCATATCTAGCACATAGGAAAATGGTTGTGGTTGTTGGAAGTTATTCATCTCACCTCCAGGACATCTCTGCAGGAGTTCCTCAGGGTAGTGTTCTAGGCCCAAATATCTTCAGCTGCTTCATCAATGACCTTCCCTCCATCATAAGGTCAGAAGTGGGGATGTTCACCAATAATTGCACAATATTCAGCATAATTTGCAACTGCTCAGATGGTGAAGCAGTCCATGTTCAAATGCTACAAGATCTGGACACTATCTAGACTTGGGCTGACAAGTGGCAAGTAATATTCGCATCACACAAATGCCAGGCAATGACCATCTCAAACAAGAGACAATATAATCACCACCCCTTGACATTCAATGTGTTACTATCACTGTATATCCAACTATTAACATTCTTTGGGTTACCATTGACTAGAAACTCAACTGGACTTGCCACATAAACACAGTGGCTACAAGAGCAGGTCAGAGACTAGGAATACTGCGGCGAGTAGCTCTCCTCCTAACTCCCCAAAGCCTGTCCAGCCTTTATAGGGCACAAGTCAAGAGTGTGATGGAATACTTCCTATTTGCCTGGATAATTGCAGCTCTAATAACCCTCAAGAAGCTTGACACCATTCATGACAGAATAGCCCCGTTGTTTGGCACCACATCGACAAACATTCATTACCTCTGCTACAGTGCTCAGTAGCAGCAATGTGTAATATGTACAATACGAACAGCAGAAATTCACCAACGGTCCTTAGACAGCACTTTCCAAACCTCAACCACTTCCATCTTGACGAGGGCAGCAGATACATGAGATCACCACCACCTGCAATTTCCCTACCAAGCCACTCACCTTCCTGACTTGGAAGTATATCACTGTCCCTTCTTTGTCACTGGTGAAAATCCTGGAATTCCCTCCCTAAAGCACATGGACTGCAGTGGTTCAAGAATCAGCTCACCGCCACTTTCTCCAGGGCAATGCGGAACAGGCAGTACATGCTGGCCAGCCAGTGATGCCAATGTCCCATGAGCAAATTAAAAAAAAAAGGAAGGGGAAGACCAGGTGTTAAGTATTCCTGGGAATAAGTTGTTCAAGAAAAATAGAAAGGAAGGAAAGGAGGAAGTGTAGCTAAGGAATAAAAAAAGGTAAAATTACATTGCTCAGATTAGTCTATGGACCACAAACAAAGGGAAAGGATCTATTCATGTGCAACTTCTCTGGCTTGTACACATGCCATCTCCCCAAGAGCCAGGCTCTGTGTCCCAGAAATCTAAAGCTCACCCTCCTGCACCATTAGGAGCAGGAAATTCAGCAGAATATATTTTAGGATGGAAAACCAATGTAACTGCTTCAGGCTTATCAAGAGATTATAAAGTGAGTTATTCTGATCAATCTCCACATTACATGTGAAATCCTGGCCCCAAAATATGTGACGTAACTAACATTTTCATATCATATCAAGATGATATTTATGAGCCTCTCTTTTTAAGTACTAGAGACATTATAACATGGTAATATGATTTGAGCAGCACAGTAGTACAGTGGTTAGCACTGCTGCCTCATAACATCAGAGACCTGGGTTCAATTCCAACTCAGGCAACTGCCTGTGTGGGGTTTGTATATTCTGTCTGTGTCTGCGTGGATTACCTCCTGCAGTCCAAAGATGTGCAGATGGTTTAATGTTGGAACTCTACCCAATGCCATCCAATGATACTCCCAGTTTCTTAGAGAATGGTGCTACCACTTTAAATTCAAGTTTGTAAGAGAGGAGCAAGTCCTTGATCTGCCACTGTGAGCTCTTGTCCGTGGCTTGCTAACCTTACACCTTACATTCTCATCAGTTTATACTACCAAGCCCAAATGAATTGTGGAACATTTAAAACCATCTAGCTTAGTTATTTCACCAGCTCACCTGTATCCATAGTAACTAGAACCCATTGGCCAAACTCACACTCTGCCATCGCTTTAGTCTCAATGATATATTTTTGTCCTGGAAGGTTTCCATCAATAAATTCAAATCAGTAAGCTTTGGTACAGTATATAATCAAATTAATGGGGGTGATTTCCATGCTCCCTCCCTGGGGATAACATGTGACAGTCTTCCCCTGATCAAGTCTCAGGGGGATCATGTAGGCAACCTTCCAATTGGGCCAATTGGGAAGAATAAATGCCACCATTCACCCATTGCCAGTCAGGGAGGCCTCTCAGTAAACCCTGTCAGGCAAGACAGTGACCTGCGAAGAGGTAGTCCTGCATTCACCGGTTCTCTGTGCCTGATTAGGGGGGCTTAGCATTAAGGAAGGGGGACCCTACAGAATGCAAACCCCTGTCCTTGCTTCAGATGTGCCCATACCATTGGCAATCCCCTCCCTGGGAACTTCATTCCATCCATTCCCTCCCTTTGGAGATCCAGTGGGAATCGCTGGTGAAGGCCCCATTATAATACTGGCAGCAGCCACCAGTTCTGGCCTTTGATTGGCCACCAGCACTTGAGGGAATGATTTCCAACCCACTCGGGCTTAATCAGTCCAAAGGCTGTGGGCTGCTCAGGTAAGTGCTCTTGATTGGAATGTAATAGTACCAGAGCTTCCACTGAAAAATGATGAGGGACTCCCACCAGTCCAGCCCAATCTTATCCCTTAAGGGATACTGTTATCCAATGTAGAATCACAGCAGTATGAGACAGAATTGCTAGAAGCAGAAAATGATTATAAGCTATAGGTTTTCTTTATTGTTGTATTTGGGTCCCAAATACAATTGGGACCTTTGACCTTTTACACGATGCAGCTTCCAAGAGCTAATTATGTCTCCCAACATGTTAGAGAAGGCACAGCTGGAGGCACGCACTTCAGCATTGGAAATTTCTGCTTCTCTGACCCATAAAGGAACCAGAGAAACATTGGAAGTTGGTATGTCCAGTTGCGGTGAGGTATAAAGGGCAGGCATGGACTCTGCTGAGGGGTATCCAAGGTAGGGATAAAATTTTGTGTTAGTAAGCATAACATAAAATCATGCACAGAAAATGTACAGATTTTTAAAAAATTTAAATGAAAAGTCATAATGAATGACAAACCTAACTGCATTATAAATTGTACATCCTGACAGTTTAGTCAGAAATCAAATAAAAAATCTCTATTCCGTTTTGTCCTTGAGAGCAATATTGAAAATCATATTAGACAAAAATATGAAGTTTATTAGTCATAGAGTCATATAGCATGGACACAGACCCTTTGGTCCAACTATTCCATGCTGACAACGGTCCCAAACTAAACTAGTCCCACTTGCCTGCTTTTGCCCATATTCGTCTAAACCTTTCTTATTCATGTACTTATCCAAATATCTTTTAAATGTTGTAGCTGTACCTCCATCCCCCACTTTTGTGGCAGTTCATTCCACATACAAACCACTCTCTGTGTAAAAATGTCACCCCTCATGTCCTTTTTAAAACTTTCTTCTCTCACCTTAAAAAGTTTCCCCCTAGTTTTGAACTCTCCCATCCCAGGGAAAGGGCCCTTGCTATTCATGTTATCTATGCCCCATCATGACTTTATAAACCTCTAATAAGGTCACCCATCAACCTCCAACACTCTAGCGAAAACAGTCCCAGCCTATCCAAACTATTTTTATAACTCTAACCATCCACTCCTGGCAACATTCTTGTAAAACTTTTCTGAACCCTTTCTAGTTTAATAATATCCTTCCTATAGCAAGGCGACCAGAACCGCACACAATACTCCAGAACAGGCCTTGCCAATGTCCTGTACAACTTCAACATGATGTCCCAAGTCCTGTACTCAAAGGTCTGAACAATGAAGACAAATGTGCTAAACATCTTAACCACCTTGTCTACCTGTGATACAAATTTCTAAGAATTATGTATCCAAACCCATAGGTCTCTCTGTTCTACAACGCTATCCAAGGCCCAACCATTATTTCTATAAGTCCTGCCCTTGTTTGTTTTACCAAAATGTAAAACCTTGCATTTATCCAAATTAAAGTCCATCTGCCACACCTCAGCACATCTACCCAACTGATCAAGATGTCTTTGTAATATTAAATAACGTACTTCACTGTCCACTATACCACAAATGTTGGTGTCATCCACTAGCTTACTAATCATGCCTCCTATATTCTCATCCAAATCGTTTATATAAATGACAAACAAACATGGACCTAGTACCGATCCTTGTGAAAAACCGCTGGTCATAGCCCTCCCGTCCAAAAAACAACCCTCCACCACCACTCTCTGTCACCTACCATAAAGCCAATTTTGTATCCAACTGGCAAGCTCTCCCTGAATCCCATGTGATCTAACTTTACTAATTAGTGTACCATGCAGAAGCTAATCAAAGGATTTAGCTTTACATTTATGTTCTAATGTTCTGCCTTAGCAACCTCCTACAGCAGGGTGTTGAAAGGATACATCTTATGCAAATAACAAACCTTCACTAAAGACACTTGACCTTCTGATTGCCATTTTCAAACTGTATACCTTTGCTTCTGCCATTAATATGCTTTCTTTCTCTTTTTTGTAAAGATGGAGAGGGGCCATCCACTAAATGCAATGTCATTTCCTGCAAGAGCAATCATCAATAACTTAGTGTATGCTTCTTATGCAACAATAATCTGCATGGTAGGTAAACAACTAAATAAGTTCATTTTTAACAACACTGCAATAAATTAACTCAGTTGAATAAGTATTTTTCTTTCTCAATCTCCACATAGGCAGTCTACAGCAAAATGGCAGTGGGACTTTTGAAGGACTTTACTTTGGTTCAGCGTACACAACGGGCAAAGAACAGCAGCATTGACAATCAATGTACAATTTCAAAGCACGACACAACGAAGTGTGGATCTCCATTGGAAAAGAACAACATAGTTCCAAAGCATTAAACAATGTCATGGTCTTAATGATAGTTGAGAAAAACAACAAATGTACATGATAGAGCTGCTTACAACTGCTTTAGTATACCAACTAGGAAGACGACCAAGAACCACAAAGGATCAGCTCTTCATTTCTAAATGTAATGTTCCTTGCATGGCTGCATTGTAAGATCTAAGTGTTTTCACCGCTTGTCACTGGCACCGAGAAAAGTAAAGCTGGGTTAAAGAATTTTTATTCAGTTTTATTTAAAAGGATACACAAGGGACAAATAACCATTCCAGAATATACTTTTGAATGTTGATATTTTGTTTATGGGATGTAGGCATCACTTGCTGAGGCAGCATTTATTGCTCATCTAGTTCCTCTTGAGAAGGTAGTGGTGAGCTGTCTTCTTGAACCAATGCAGTCACTGGGTCTCCATTACATAATGCATCAGACTGAAACTTATTATACACGTGGAAAAATGTAACCTCTTTCTCAATTTGGCAGATGAGGAACTAAGCTGAGTTACTCAAAAAAAAAGCTCCCACATTCATGGTCTGCACTGTATAAATGACTCTAGTACTATGATTGGACTCACTGCTCAAGGTGGGGAGGGATAATGTGATTAGGCAAATTTCCTTTATCTGATTCAATTCAGTTGAGAATAGCATCAAGACTCAGCTGTGATCAAGTGCTGTTGTCGGATACGTTGCTGGGAGCCCAGACAACACCGGCTCCGGTTATCGGCTCATACGGAGAGGAGAAGAGTCAATTTTCAGAACCTGACAAATTACTTTATTAGTGTATTAAACAAGACCCATGTTGCTTAAATGTTTTTCCCACAAATTGAACTAGAACCTAATTATACACTCACTAGAGTCCTCTGACACTTACCAAGTAGTCACAGAATATAAAAGTTAATACTCCATCAGGATAGCTGCCGCTGCTGTTGTTTGTTGCTGACAAGGGCTGACGCTGGCCAGATGCTGCATTTGATGTTGTCACCACGTCCTTGACGTAGCGTCTTCTCCTGCGATGGTAGGTCTCCAGAGTTTTCGCTGGCTGTGTACCCCCAAGGGTCTTCTTTTTATTCTTTCTATTATCTCTAAAAAGTTGTGCTATCTTCTTCCGTTGGCTCAGGCTAATTCACTTATCGCGTGCCTTTACCTTATTGGCCCTGGTCCAGAGACTTAGGTAGCATTATCTCATTATTTCTCACCCAAATAAGGCTTTTGCATTACTTCATTGTTTTTACTTCTTGCAGAACTTTGTTAATTCAAACTGGTTTAAATTGGCTCAAACTAGCATCTGGGAGCAGGTCATTTTTAGCTCACAAGCTGCTTCTTTCTTTGTGTCAGCACCTTTGCATTCAGTACGTCCTGTTAGCGATGTCAACGGTTGATACCCCTCTCTCTCTCTTTATCTTTCTGTAGCTTCTGGCTAATGTCTCCCCAGGCAGCGATGTCAGCAGCTTGTACCTTTCTCTCTATCTCTCTGCAGCCTCTGGCTAACAGTTTGCCAGCGCTCAGTCCTCAGACAAAACTTTGTTGTCTTTTGGAAATATGCACAACATGCCTGCCATAGGGAGAGGTGCCTTTCCTGTGCATGCCAACCCATCCACTTCAGTGTAATACAAATTTAAGTCCACTCTGCTTGCTTTATTAGTTCGTATTATCTTGCGCTTCAGAGCACAGTTGTTCTTAATTATGGGATATTTTTCCAGCATTGACCCTGCTCAAAGCATATTCACTCATTGTGATGACTCTGATGCTGGCTCAACCATAGTTTCAAACATGATCAGCCCAATAGCGACAAAATGTATAACCCCCCTCATCCTAGTTTAGACCTGTAACATACAAATGTAGTTTCTGCTCTTATTTACGGTTTCTTTGTTATCCCTACTATAAGCTCAGGTTCTACATTCTCTGAGCCAGATCGTCTGTCTCCTGTCCCAGTCTGTCGTGGATTCTAACTGTCTGTTTCGTCTGACCTAATTACTTCCTCTATCCTTTCTCTTTTTCTTTCGTCATTTTCCTTGGCTATCCTTTAATCGTGGATGATCAATATTGGGTCGCGTTCCAGTTATCACTTCAGATATTTGTAACTGATCCTGTTCTTGCTCTCTCTGACCTTCAGAACTTGGAGCATCATTAGCATCAAGCATCATATGATAATTGTGGCTAGCTTGTTTCTCTCTACTAACTTTAACTGATTGATGTGATACCAGCTACTCTTGCCTGGCATCATTAATACCTTGTACACAGATGGGCTAGCCTTATCTACTATCTCACAGGGACCGGCGAACTTTCGGTTCAAGAATGAGGTGGGCTGGTGTATTCTTATCATTACACTTTGTCTGGGACTCAATTCTATTGGGCTGGCTTTTGTGTTGAAATAAGCCTTACTTTGCTGCTTCATTGTGTACATGTGGTCCGGGATCCCACAGTGTCCCAAAGGAATGTGATAAGGCGGCCTCCAACCCTATCATTCACGAGGGGTCTCCATATTTGATCCCACCGCACATCACATACCCATAATGGAGAGGCCTGCAACTGTCATTACATTTCGGGGTACATCCCCAAAGATGGTAGTATCTCTGTCACATTACACTGTTCAGTCCTTCCACGGGTAGGCACTGCCCCCCCCCCCCGCCCCCCACTTTCACGTCCCGGATTCGGGCATTCTCTTGCAAAATATCCCTCTTGGCCACAATTGTAGCATGTGGACACCCCGCGTTGAGTTCGCTCTGTTCCCGAGACATTCCCTCTACCTCTTCCCACCATCGAATAAGCCGGAGGTCTAGGTCCCCTCTGTTAGCACCCATGATATTTAACACCTGGTCTTTTAAAACCTCTGTTGTGCTTCTATCAACTTTCTGCTCTTCTTGTAAAGCAGAGTGTACATGTGGGTGCAGCACATTATTATTAATTTTCTTTCCTCAGCATCATCTAAACCACGTATTTCCCTCTGGTGACCGACTGCTCAGAAAAGCTCCCCAAGAACATCCTGGACGCACATGTCCCAATATTTTTCACAATTTCCCTCAACTTCTATATCCCCAGTGGGATGAAATATACTACCCTCTCGCCCTCTACCATCTGACCAGCTGCCCGTAATCCTCCTCTAGCGATTACAATGGCGGGGCCATTAAGATTGGAGCTGATGGGGTCTCCGACCCTGGGTCATAAGCTGGTGGTGAATCCTCCGGTAGAGGCTCCCCGTCTTCATAACCGTACCTAACCGCTAAACCGTCCCAATCTATGTCCCCTTCGCTGCCTTCCTCACTTCTTTCAGATGCGAAGGCACACTTTATGCCCGTCTGTGCAGCTAGCTGACCTTGCAGTTTCTCTATCTGTCTCTGACATTTTGTGTGATCCGCGGCACTCCTCTTCTGAGCTGCTCTCTGGATCACGTTCATTGCAGCTTTTAAATCATTATATGTTTGCTTCCATCCCTCCACCTCACCTTTAGCTGTTTGGACTTCTTCCTCTCGCTTACTCCTTTCCCTAACCAGCTTCTCGCACTGCATCTGGTACTGATTCATATGTACCAAGTCCGCACTCCTCTGTCCCTGCAGACCGGTTCCCTCTTCACTAAGGCAGTCTACCTCCTCACGAAGTCTCTTACTCCCTTCCTCTTGTCTGTCCCTCTCTACCTTCTCTAACTTGGCTAGCTGTCGGCATTCTATCCATTCCTCCATTAAACAGCCAGTCGCCACCACCTTCTGTAACAGTTTTAAACTTCTTGTCCAACATCTTCCCTTGTCACTAGTGTGACCTGCATATTCCCCGTATGGCAGCCACTTCCCTATTATGGATTTCTGGAGGAGTCCCATCCAATCTGGGCAGTCCATTCTCTCCTGATTTGTCATTGTATACTGGTGGCTAAGGATTAACCCCAAGCTCTCATTCTGTCTGTATGCTGCTGATTCAGTCTGACTCAAGTCTCCCGCTGACTCAACAGAGAGATCCACCTTCAGATCCATGTCACGGCACCATATATGTTGTTGGGAGCCCGAAGAACACCAGGAGAGAAGTGTCAATTCTCATAACCTTACAAATGACTTTACTGGTGTATTAAACAAGACACATGTTGCTTAAATGCTTTTATCACAAAACTAGATCTTATGTATTTTCCCACAAACTGAACTAGGACCTAATTATACAACCACTAGAGTCCTCTGACACTTACCAAGTAGTCACAGAATATAAAAGTTAATACCCCATCAGGATAGCTGCCGCTGCTGTTGTTTGTTGTGACAAGGGCTGACGCTGGCCAGGTGCTGCATTTGATGTTGTCACCACGTCCTTTACGTAGGATTTGCTTCTGCGATGGTTGGTCTCCAGAGTTTTCACTGGCTGCGTGCCTCCAAGGGTCTTCTTTTTATTCTTTCTATTGTCTCTAAAAAGTTGTGCTATCTTCTTCCGTTGACTCAGGCTAATTCACTTATCGCGTGCCTTTACCTTATTGGCCCTGGTCCAGAGACTTAGGTAGCATTATCTCATTATTTCTCACCCAAATAAGGCTTTTGCATTACCTCATTGTTCTTACTTTTTGCAGAACTTTGTTAATTCAAACTGGTTTAAATTGGCTTAAACTAGCACCTGGGAGCAGGTCATTTTTAGCTCACAAGCTGCTTCTTTCTTTGTGTCAGCACTTTGCATTCAGAACGTCCTGTTAGTGATGTCAGCAGCTGGTACCCCTCTCTTTCACTTTATCTTTCTGCAGCTTCTGGCTAACGTCTCCCCAGGCAGCGATGTCAGCAGCCTGTCCCTTTCTCTCTATTTCTCTGCGGCCTCTGGTTAACAGTTTGCCAGAGCTCAATCCTCAGACAAAATTTTGTTGTTTATTGGAATTATGCACAACATGCCTGCCATAGCGGGAGAGAGAATCAATTGGGAATGGAGTAAAGACAGAGATAATTAAGCATAATTGTGTACTTTATGTGAAGAAACATTTGATGTGCCAAATTTTAACAAAATGAAGTAGTGCACACTATTTAGCTCATTAAATTTTATCAGACAAGCAATTCTGAAAGAAAGGAATTATGTTGTAGCATTGAGAGATTCTAGTACAAATTTTGGGAAATGGCCACTGGCAAGTTTTGATTCTAACGTAAGTTTACATAAACTGTGCCAGCGAGGGTTTAAAGTATT